CAAGTATATCCTCCTTTGTTGACCTTTTTGTTGCTATGCTCAGGAAAAGAAAGGTGCTTAATAAAGTTAGCTTCTTAAACTTTTGAAGTGTTTTCTTTGTTGTCCCCTTCTTTCTCTGTTTAATTCAGCAGTAGAAACATAAAAGTAGTATTTTTTCCTATGATTTTGCAAGTACTGACAGATCATTAGGACGTGTTCTGCTTGGTGACTTGTGTGTGGCAATTCACTATAGTTTGAGCAGGTGCAGGATAAATGAATGACCATTTGATGGACTGAAAGACTTTGGAGGTATCATACTGTATGTTATGTGTAATAGCTGCAATGGAAAGAAGGTGCTATTACTGGGTTTTTTGGGGTTTTAGTTTTTGGGGTTTTTTTAGCAGGCAAATGCAAAGGAATTTATAACAGCATGTGATGCTGAGTCTGTAATGTAAGCTTAAGAAAGCACTTCAGTACTGAACTATAAATAGTGTATTGTTTTATGTGAATTTGTCCTTGGTTTTCAAAGTAGCTGTGTATTGTGCTTTGAGTTGTATGTTTTGTTTTACTTTCTGAAGTGCAAAAAAACCCCTTTTACGGGAAAAATCATCAGGTTATCACTGTGGAGTTCAATGTGTTCCAGGTGGCCTGGTTGAAGAGACCAGTGAATGCTTGTCATTTGAATTTACCCAAATTGATTTAAGGAACACATACTGAAATAACAAGAGCTTTGAATAATATTCTTAAGCTCAGTGTATTGATTGAGTTTTCCTTTTCTTCAACTAAACATATGAGTAAAATAAAACAAAACAATTAGCTCAGTAGAAATAGTGTTTGTTTTTATAAAGAATGGAAGGAAAACAACCCAGCTGATAGCTGTATAATGAGCTTTTCTGATTTGGCAGTGCCTGTAGGTGGTGTGGAAGTTGACAGGAGCAAGCCAGCTTTCTGCAGAAGAGACATATTTGGTCGGAACACAAGCAGGCAGAACGCCTGTCCGACTGAAAGGTGATGGAGATCATGGCCCCCACACTGGCCGAAACACATCTGGGCTTGTTTAGAAATCCCTTCTGGCTTTTCATGTGAAATAAAGTCCTTTTCATTTTCCCATCTTTCAGCAAATTGTTTTCCTGCTCAGTATGGACACTGGAGAACAGGAAGCATGTTTGTGATCAACAAAAATCCTATAAATTCTGGGTTATTTTAAGTGCCTAAAGTAGTTTTCTTTTTATGTTGCTTTATTTCTTGCTGTTTACCTGTTTGTTTGGCCTTGTTTGCATTTTATGTATGTACATATTTAGATGACAGTAAAGCCAGCTATTACCTGAAATTTTTCTTAATTTTTCTACATTTTCGTGCATAGGATCACATGAAAATTACATAAGGAAAACCTTTTTTTACTGTAAGGGTGACAGAGCATGGCCCAGGCTGCCCAGAGGTGATGTGGAGTCTTCTTTGGAGACGTTCAAAACCCGCCTGGATGCGTTCCTGTGTGACCTGGTCTGGGTGATCCTGCTTTGGCAGGGGAGTTGGACTGGATGATCATTCGAGGTCCCTTTCAACTCCTAAGATTCTGTGATTCTGTTATTCTGTGCAAATAGATTTACTTACAGATTCTTTTTTCTTTAGCTATCCTATTGCAAGTATTGCTTAGTAAAGGCATACATTTATCTAGCATTTATTTTAAATCTGTTCTTTTGTCAGCTCTGTCAGTGGAGAAAATCTCTCTTTATCCTTTCTGCCATATATCTGCTAGGAGACAATTCTTAGGCACTTCCATATTAAGAGGGAAAATTGAATTTCAGTAGAAACTTCTGTTAAATGTCTGTTTTTAAAAATCGTATATTCAGTGTAATTCAGTGCTAGCCTTGTTATCTTCCCTACTTGCATCTAGGAGACAGAAACAAACTAAGTACACTTCCCTATTTGATATAGCAGCTACATTCAGATATGTACTTTTTTGTTGTTTGTTGTTTTTTTTTTGGTCTGACATGACATGAGTGAAAAATAATTTGGAAAGTGTTTCTCTACTTACTGATGTTTTCTCAGTTTTAAACCGAAAAAGATGACCAAACTCTGGCTGTAGAAACCAAAGTCTGGCAACGCAGTTGCTGAATTCAATATCATAAATACAACAGTTTTGATAGAAAATCTGTGATTGCATAATGTACAACTGGATAAAATATTTTAACACCTTAGTTGTCTAATACTGTAGCTGAGCTGCTTAAACTCCATAAACTCTTACCAGTACAGTGCATGGTTGGACATCTCACTCTTGCCAGTGGCCTATGAAGTTGAAAAATTTTTGAAGTGCCCTTATTTTGTGGTACAATCTTTTTTATTTTACTCATTAGAATTTAATTTGGTTTTTAAACACTGGTCTAGAATACAACCACATTACTTAGGATTATCTCCTTATAAATGTATTCTGTTTTCTACTTTGTGGTTACCTGCGCAGTCATCAATAGTAGAGAATCTGTAAAGTGTTGAAGTTGGATTCTACAGTGAGCTTTCTTTTATAGTTGCCCAGCCTGAGTCTAAAAAGCTAAGTGACTGATGTGACTTAATTTTGTCTGGGACGTGATTTATATTTTGTGCTGTTCTTCCTCATCACCTCATTGCTTTGTTACTTTGCTTGGGATTATGTCTTAAACTGCTGTGTTCTTTGTTTTCTTTCTTTCTCCTGCCATGAACGTGGAAAGTATCACAGTATACAGCAGTGCATCATATGTGTCAAACTGTTAAACAAACAAGCAAAAACCACAAAGGCAAAATTATTTTTGAAAAGCTTTTTTAAAGGTCATTCAGGATAAGGGTTCATAGAGTTTTCCAGCAGTAGAGAACAAAAATATATTTTAAAAAAAGGCATTTTGCAGGCCTCCGCTTTAGCTGGGTTTTACAGAATGTTGATGATCTTGATGATAGCCTTAAACCCAAATCTGTACACTTGTTAGTTTTACCAGTAGCTTCAAAATAGCACAGTGTTTTGTTAGGGGGAACTAGACCTTTCCTTTCAAATTGTCTGCATATGAAATCATAACGTTGACCTGTTTGGTGAACAGAATATTTGAATTTGGTTTGAATGCTTTTCACACTGATTTAACCTTTTAAATCAAGTAGATTTTTCATCTTTGTGAATGTACGGGTTCCGTTAAATTTATCTTTGTTGTGCAGGATCATAAACAGTGGAATCTTTTAGTACGAACTACATGTTGTATAGTGTAAGAGATAATAGTAACATTGTTCTAGGCATTTAAATTCCTTACTTTTTGATGGATTTCTTTTGTGTTCCCTTTTTTTAGGGATTTAACAAGACATATGAGAAACCTTAGTAATTCTTAAGGGAATAAAAAAAGCTCAGTTAAAATACATCTCCTGTTGTTTATATGAAAACCAGGTCTTAGTGTAAAAAAATCAGCTCTGTATTTGGCATAAAGAAATTTGATTATGGTTCTTATAGAAAGTGGAGTAAATGTTTTTTTGTAACATTTGCTTGATACAGTACCTGAATTCTGGTGCCTTATTGATAAAGTGGGTTAGATGGTAAATAATACCACAGTAGTTTTGATGTACAGAGGCTGACAAATGTGAAAGTTTGTTTTCACTCTTTTGACTTTGAAAATCAGTAACATCTCTTATGCTTATTTCTAAATATATCCTAAATACAAAATACAGAAAAATGCTTTTGACAATGTATTCCTTCCATCTTTTATAATCTGACATGTGATAAGGGTCAGTTTTATTGTTCCTTTGTTTTATCTTTAACCTTGAATTGTATTAAATAGTTGGATCTACTTCTAAAACCTTTTTCATCTTTACATTGTTTTTGATAAAACTATAGTGTCACCTTTATATCAAGGTCATTCAGTCCTCTAAGCTCTAGATATTTAAACACTTATATATTTTTGTTGCCATTTATTTGACTGAAAGTTTTAAAGCAAAAGTTGTTCTAAATTCAATGTCTGTTTTTTTGGCTGTAGTAGAAATCTCCTTAGAATTATTTTAACGTGAGGAACCGTTGGAAGAATGGATGTAGAACAGAAATTCAGGGGTCATTTGGGTTATGTGTGCCTGATAAGGAAGGGCAATTTCGAAATACTATGAGGAGAAATAGGTTGTGTTAGCTTCAACCAACATGTAAGAAAGACTGAACAGACTCTTTAAAAGAGAAGAAATGTGGCACTAAAATGGAAAAGAATATAGGTGGAAACCTCATGAGACTGAATTTAGGGAAGTAAATTTGTGCCACAGTTGGGCATTTCAATAGATAGTAAAACCATAGTGTAGAAAGGATATAATTTTGAACAGGAATATCTTCAGTCTGTTCAAGGGAGGACAGCAAGGTTACTAACTTTCCAAGGCAACCTGTGTTTTTGTATGTAAACAAAGTAGACCTTTGTGCTACAGGTGAAAGAAGTATTAACATCATATTTAAGTCTAGGTAGTGTGTTTTGAAGCCAGTGTCAATGCTGATGCATTTGATGAGTGTGGGTTTTTAGTTTTATTTTGTTTTATTTTCCTTAGAATTTGATAATTTCATAAATACTAGCTTTGTGCTCATGAAATGTGACACGTTGGTATATCTAGAGGCTGAAAGCTTTTCCTTATCAAGGAAACAAGGTACAGCCAGACTACAAGGAACATTTCCTCATATTGCTAGAATGTCTCATATCTCGTACTTTTAGTCAAGATTAGGTTCTTGTCAATACATCCTGCCAGTTCTGCTATATGAGTTGTTAAAGAGTTGATGAATCTCTTTAGAAATGTAGAACGTGTGAGTGCCCATAAGCTGTGTGTTGTGATCACAACACAGTTGTCACGTAGTAGATTTGGTCACTTCCAATTTGAACAGAATTGAGTTTAATCCACTAACAGTGTAAAGTCTCTTAATAGTTGTTCCGTTTCTATTTCTGACTGCAAGCCAGTAAAATGATGTTAATTTAGCAGCATATTCTAATGTGTGTCTGAGTACTGTACTGTGACCCTTTTTATGTTCAGTAACAGTGTGCTATTTATTCCAGGATGATGTGATGATGCCACAGCGGGTTAGACTGCAGCACGAAGCTGCCATTCAACACCCAAACAGTGTGAGTACTTTTTTCTTGTGTGTATTTGTGTGTTTTTCTTTTGCAGAGTGCCGGATACATCTTTAAAAGGATATGAAAATTTCACAGTAGGGCTGGTGGAGGCAAAGCAATAACCAGTGTATTCTTTTACTTTATTTTTAATCCTTGCACTGAATAGTAGCTTTGATTGAACTTCTTCCGTTTGTTTTCTCTGTTCAGTAAACCAAATCTCATTATGACAGTGATACTCTTTTTTCAGATAAGTATACAGGTTTTGCTAATGTATGTAATCTAAAGGAGAATGCCTTTTTTATGTCACGGTACTAAGTAACGTGAAAAGCTCTAAAAGATTTGCTACGGTTGTCATGTATCTGTTTCTAATATTTAAGAAACTTTAAACTGTAAGGAATGTATGGGTTATTACCATTAGTAAATGGGCCTACAGGTAAATTGATGTTTCTTTCTATGTCTGCCTGCAAAAGAAAACATTATCAGAATGCCATTCTTTATTCTTGTGAAATAAACTCTCAAAACCATTCTGTGAGATAGTTGTTTTATGACCTATATGATTTTGATTTTAAATAGATTTATGTGATTAGGGCTAGTATTATTTAGAGAGAGTTTGCGTATATATTCTACTTACCTGAAAATAATATAGAATTTGTTACAGCGATTACTTCATTTGTCAATGTTATTGACATAGATACTCCATTATAAACTGTAAACTGAGTGTGTATTCTTATCAGCAGTGCTCAGCAAAAATAGGCTTATTGTGTTCATGTCTCTGGCATTTTCTCTTCTGAGATTTGTTTCAATGTGCAAGATGTTTCTGGAAAGGAAAGGTCAGTTGACTTGATCTGTCAAGAAGGTATTTCTTGCAGGTCTCAGAACAAAATAGAGTTTTAGGATTATCACTCTCTGGGAATTAAACACCTTTTGAACTTTTCCTCCAAAACACGCTTGTTTCAAAGTAGAGGTTGTTGTGGTTGTTTCAGCTGAGGAATGTCTGCCAAACAACCTGCTGCTTGGTGGTGGGATGTGTACCTGCTTGTCACACCACCTGTGTTAGGTCTCTTATGAAATCTGATAATCCTTACAATGTAATTTATAAAATTACAGTTTTAGTAGTACTTGAGTAGCAGTTAACCTAAGTCACATTATGAACATAATAAAATGATACATCAAAAGGTGTTTTTGTTCTGATATCAATCAGTTAATGTAAATCTGTAGTAAAATGCCCAAAAACCGGAGAGGCAAGTTGATCCAGTAAGTTTGTTTTGTGGAAACTACTGTTAAGAGCTATCGTATTTCTTGCTTATATGACTTCTATAGCTGTATGTTAAAAGCTTTTCTTAAATTAGACTAATTTCAACTAAACAGTTTGTAGTCTATTTAGAAAACACTTCAACTGTTTTGCTTATATCCTGTTATACTTTAGAACCTAACAACATTCAGTATGAACTATTAAATGACAATCAAATAAGGAATAATGAGTGCCTGAGTAGACTGAAGGGTATGTCTTCATGATATATGCTAAGCAACACAAACTTGTTTTTCCCATGCTCCAAACTAATCTAAACTTGTAGTCCTGTTTTAACATGGTACATGTGGTAGGTTGCCCTTAGCTGGATGCCAGGTGTCCACCAAGCCACTCTATCACGCCCCTCCTCAGCAGGATAGGGGAGAGGGAAGGGAGAAAATAAAATGTAAAAAAACCCTTGTGGGTCAAGATAAAGGCAGTTTAATCAAAGCAAAAGCTGTGCGTGGAAGCAAAGGAAAACAAAAGATTTATTCCTTACTTCCCATCAGCAGGAGATGTGCTGACAGTTGCCAGAAGTAGGCCTTCAGTACACGTAGCGGTTGCTCTGGACAACAACTATGTATACCTTCTGGAGTGATGTTGCATTTTACAGAACTCTGAGTCGAAGGCCTGAAAGGAGAAGTGGAAACATATCCAAATGTTCCTGATGAGCAAATAGGTCAGTTTGGTCCAGAGCCCCCCAATAGTTCTGACATAACGTGAGTTACTTAGAGAAAGGGAAAGTTGACCTGGCCATCAATGTATTGGCCAATGTCAAGGTAGACTGCTCTTCTTAAAATGGTGATCACTCTCCTGTCCTCAGAATAATCGTGCCATTGCATTTTCTGACCTTGGAAGATGGTTGGGGATGTTTAAATGAAGTTCTGTTCCCTATTTGAAGTTCTGCCTCTAGCTTCAGTCAGTGTGATAAGCTAGAGTAGGTGGAGAGGCAGAAAGAAAAAAAAAAAAAGCAGAAGTTTGAGAAATGCCTGTGAAGCAGTGAGCTTTTTTGGTTTGTTCCTGAAATTCTAATTTGCAGGCTTGGACTTTCCACTGTTTTGCAACTTCTAACTTGGATTTTTGACTTTTTGTCTCAGTGTACTTTCTGAAATCTTGTTCCTAATCCTAGCCTTGTTGGTTGTTACTGAGATCCAGTTTTGGAAAGTAATATTCATGGTGGGCTCTAATATTGGAGGCTTCAGTCTACTGTTGTTCCTACTACAGATTTTACAGGTAAGAAAAGCCTCCAACTTACTCCACCAAGAGAAATCTTCTCCCAAATCCTAACTAATCCCTGAGGTTCTTCCACTTCCATGTTATCCTTAAATGCAAATCACCTTACCCTGACTTGAAGCTTGGCCTCTAAACAGCAGAACCAAAGATATCAGATGCCTTTGAAATGACTCCACAACCAGTTGTTTTTCAAAAAAACTGGTGTCTCTATCTCTGAAAAAGCAAGAGGCTTGCCCTTAGGTTCAGGTACTGGAACATGACTGTGGTTACACTGTGGCACCCCTTAGATTTATCAGTCTCATGTCCTGTATCCATGGATTACTTAATTATGCTTTAAGGAGCAAATTAAATTCTACTCTCTTAAGCTGTTCTTATCTGGAAGACTTTAAAAAAGAAGCCTCATAGCATGGAACTTTCTGTCATTGGTGACATTGACAGTGGAGGATTTTGGATCTCAAAAGACAGATTAGTAATATGTTGTGATTTCATTAAATGCAGCTCTCTAGAACCTCTGTCATCTTGTCCTCTGGTGAATATTCTATGTTATCTCCAAGTTTTGCTGACAAGGATTCTATAAATAGGACACTATCAGAAGGCACAAGTTTTTGAAACTTTGCATATTTATCTTACAGATTCTTAAGCTCTGCTAGCTCAATATGATTACCTGCTTTTATCAGTTTGAAAGCTTAGGGACATCGTACTATCTATTCATAATTTAATAGTGACCAGCCTTTTAGCACTGATTGTCCAATGCACATGTGCACTTATGCTGCATACAAGCGTGCGATCAAATTGCTTATGCTCAAATCAGGTAAGGAATCACTTTATTACTGCAGAATGAGCAACTGTTACTAAAATATCTTGCTCTAGTTTTTGTTAATCCCTAGAAGCAGCATCTATCCCATTTCTCCAGGGTAAGCCAGGTGTTGCTTATTTACCAGCCACAAATCATGTATGCTTTGTTGGCAGCTAATGAGTAGGAAGATTCAAGATCACCTTTCTCTTAATTCTGAAAAAATCAGGCCTTCATCTCTGATTCTACTTGCGTTGTTCTAGAGAAAATTCCACTTTGTGTACATACCAGTGTTCTGTTGAACAACACTCCTGAGCTTGGAGTAGCCCAGGAAATTATTTCCCAAACCACACACATGCACACTACAGTATTTCACACCTATGTCCCACACTTGCTCTGTTATTTTATTTAAGCGGAGTAGTACCCTTCAACAACTCCCAAAACTTTTTGTTTCAAGGAGATGGGAGATGGTTAGCAGTATCTGCTCCCAGTTATGTTGTTGCCAGGTGCATACATCAGGACCTGCTATGGGCATGCTGAGGTGGAATTGCTGGGTGGAGTTTGAGTACACTCTTGGAGAGCTTGAGTAGCATTATAGAGCTTCTCTGGAATGTGCCTCCTTCCTGAGATGCGCAGGGAACTGACCACACTTTGCCAAGCCACTGTGCCGTTATGGAGGCATTGAAGAACAGAGCAGCACTTGGAATACTTTTCCAGTTTGTCTTTTTCTGAAGGATTTCAGATACTGGAAAGAGAAAGAAGGGTGCTAAATGAGATGTACTGTTCACACTCAAAACTCACAGACTTTCTCATGTGGCTTCAAATATTTATATCTTTCTTTCTGCAGAATTGCTTCCAAAATAGCTAAGCTCTTCCTTACTGTCTCCCATGTCTTTCCATCAGCTGGAATTAAAATGTAGGCAATTGAAATAAAAAAAGATTATCTTCTTTTGTTCTTACTGGCTGAATAAGAGGAGAATCTGTACCAGTGTCAGAACGAACACCTTTCTTTTTGTTGTAAAAGTACTAGCCTCTTTCTCAAACATGTAGGATACCTAGGCATGTGAGAGAACACTGAGTAGAACAATTTGCATTTCTTCAATGAGAAATTCTCACTGTTTTGCATCTCTAAAGCAAATTTTTGGCATTTTCTGTAGCTTGGATTTAGATCAAGAGCTGCAGCGCCTAAGGCCATTTTAACCTATTGCATTATCTGAATGTGTTAACCGAGTGACTAAATTCTGCATATCTTTGATGGTTAACCTGACTCTAAGACAGTTAATTGGATTGAGTGAACTTGAACAATGCAAGGCAGTGCTAGTTCACAGACCTGTTCATCTGCCTCTGGGAAAGCTGTAAACAAATATTGTGCAATCAGCAAATGAACTGAAGAAATGAACAAATGAATGAGATAGCTGAGCTTGAGCCTTTCTTTAAGGCATTGAGTGTCATCTCCACCCCCACTGAAGCTCACAAATTAAACTTAGAAATGAAGTGGGATTTTTAGTTTAGTTTTGTTTTGTTTCTTTGTTTCTGTTTTTTTTTCTTTTGGTCTGGACACACACATTTCTTGATTTTGAAAGTGATAGTCTAGTAGATATGTTTGTCGTACTGTCACTGTACCCTGTGCCATTCTAATTGCCTAGACCTGTTAGACATTTCTATTGCATGTTAGAAGGACTGTTTTTTCCCTTA